CATAGGGAGCCATGGGGAATTTTATTAGGGGAGTGACAATGGAAGAGCTGTGCTTCAGGAGTCCAGGTGTCGGAATTAGTTCTGCTCCTTCTTTGGGCCTCATGTCTCTGTCTGTAAAACCAGGAGGGTGCACCAGGTGATAGGAGAGGTCATCTTCAGTTCCAAGGTTCTGACAGCAAAGAGCTTTTTCTGACTTTCCAAAATCCTTTTCTTCCCTGCCCCACCCACTTTTAATTTTTCTGCTGCTCAGTGCTGAACTGTGACTGGAACCGCCCCCCTGGGGGGAATGTCTGCTCAATGGAGTCTTGGGAGCAATTCTGTTTTATTTTATTTTTGTCGCTCCTTTGAAATCTTCAAGGAGAAAACCCAAATCTGTGCCAGCTCCAAGGAGGAGCAACTTGGAAGGGAGTTGGAAATAACAAGATGGGTAATCAAATCCTTTCAGGGTTCCAGAGCAAGCTGCAGTCGGAGATCCAGCCAGGCCCGTTTCCTGCTAGAAGGATTTGACTCTGAGCTGTCCAAGCTGCTGGAAGGTTCTATGCACAACCCAGCCTAGAGGCTCCAGCTGGTGGTATGAATTGAGGGAGATTCTCTGCTCTTTCCAAATCCTCCCCTGTCATCATAGTGTGATTTATGAACTTTTCCTCTAAAATATGAGAACATTGGCTCCTGATTATGCCCTGTAATGCAGGAGAGCAGTGGCTGCAGCATTTCTGATGAATAATTCTCTTTAGACCACCATCTTGTTACAAAAAGGATACAGGAGGTTGAATACAGATGGATTAAAGTCTTTTGCAAAAATAACATGGTCTCAGTCTAGTTAGGTATCCGGAGGGTCGTTGCTGCCATCTGAGGAATCTGGGCTTGATTCCTAGATTAATTGCAATATACCAGCTGTTACGAACAGAGGCTGCTTACTCCTGAGCCTCCACCTCCTCATCTGTGGGGAGAAAGTGGGGAATGGTAGTAGCACCTGCCTTATAGGGGAGAGATTATGTGAGATAAATATGTAAAGAAGTCAGCACTGGGCCTGCAATAAATGATGGACTCTGTAAATGCTAGTGATTTTTATTAAGATTATTTTGAGTCCCAAATAGTAGATGGTCTGAAAGTAATTTGAAAAATATTTTTCAAATTGAAGAGCATTTTTATAACTCTGTGCTGATATGGTAGGGCTTGCCCTTTGGGGAGTGATGACACCTTGATCCAAGTCAACACATAGGCAGTGTCATAGGTATACCTGTGTAGCTTGTTATATAGTTCAGAGAACAAAATGTGACCTTGGACAAGTTCCTGATTGTAGTTTACACAGCTGTGGTTTCTTCCTCTGTAAAAATGGATAATAATGTCATATTGTATATGTGTGTATGTGTACAGTATGGTGTGTGGTATGTGTGTAGTATATGGTATATGTGTGAGTGTGTGTGGTGTGCTGTGTGGGGGGTATATGTGTTGTGTGAGATGTGCCTGGTGTTTGTGTGTATGTTTGTGTCGAGTGAGACTCCCATAATCACAACACTTAATATCCTTGGGTAAAAGCACTCGGTAAAGAGAAATAGTAATTTGCTATACAAATATCGATCTCGTGATCATCTATTACATGCAGGGAAAATCCACCTTTAGAGCTTAAATTTCATTTGAGGAGCCAAGGAGAATATGACACATGTACACAAAAGAATTAAAACAACAGCAGGAGGTAGTCAGAGACAAACTAGAAGTACCATGGGAGTTCAGAGTAGGACTGGGAGGGCCACGCAGTCCAGGACTCCCTGGGAGGAACAGTACTTGACATGGACTCTAAAGCAGGTTTTAAACTTTTTTGCTTGCTTACCCTCTAAGTGGAGTCAGGGGGGCGAAACTTCTTGCTTCATACATTTTAACTTGACATCTGAAATGTTTCATTATAAGTTTATTTTTTTCATTAAGTTTAAGTAGTTACAAAGGATATCATTTCTGCCCTATTGTAAATATTGACCTTGTAGAATAAAATTACACTACTCTCTTAAATGTATCAAATGGAAATCAAATAACATAGGAAGCAATTTTTTATTTTGTCTCTTTAGTGCAGGATCACTTATTTAGAGTAGAATACACAGATCTCAAGTATGCAACTCAATTCTTTATACCAGGTAACTGCCACCCAAATTGAGGTGAAGTATATCTCCAGCACTCCAGAGGTACCCCTTGTGCCCCCTCCCAGTCAGTACCACCCCAAGAGTGACCATTTCTCTGACCTCCATCACCATAAACTGGTTTTGCATGATCTCATTTGTTCTGGCTTCTTTCAAGCAATGTAAGGCCTGTGAGATTCAAGCTGCATGTAGCAGTAATTCATCTTTTTCATTGTTGTATAGTATTCCATTGACTGCCAATGTCAGAGTAAAAAAAAATCTTGTCTAGTCTTAATGGACATTTTGGGTTGTTTCTAATATTTGGTTGTAAAGCAACTATAAGTATTCGTCTGTATATTGTTTGGTGGACATAAACACTGTATTTGTTTGGAGTATGTAGCCATGAGTGTAATTACCAGATCGTGGAATAAATACCATAACATGTTGGTATCCACCACCATCCATCCAAAATTATTCAGATAAGTCAGAAATTTTATATTGTGCCTTTCTTTACTTTCTTGAACTCATCATTCCTTTATATTTCTTTCACAGAAGTTTATCTAATATATTTTTATACCTGAAATTATTTTTTTAAAAGATTTTATTTATTTATTCATGAGAGACAAAGAGAGAGAGAGAGAGACGTAGGTAGAGGGAGAAGGAGAAGCAGGCTCCCTGCAGGGAGCTCGATGGTGGGACTCGATTCTGGGACCCCAGGATCACGACCTGAGCCGAAGGCAGATGCTCAATCACTGAGCCACCCAGGTTCCCCTACACTTGAAATTCTTATTGATTACTCCATCATACCTCTTTGGATCTAGAACATGGATGTAAATTGAAATAGACATTGAAAATCTTTCCTTTGCTCATAGAACTCTAAGTATCTTTATTTATTTATTTATTTATTTATTTATTATTTATTTATTTTATTTTTAAAAAGATTTTACTTATTTATTTATTCATGAGAAACACAGAGCACGAGAGAGAGGCAGAGACACAGGCAGAGGGAGAAGCAGGCTCCATACAGGGAGCCAGACGTGGGACTCGATCCCGGGTCTCCAGGATCACACCCTGGGCTGAAGGCGGCGCTAAACTGCTGAAGCACCCAGGCTGCCCAGTATCTTTCTTTTAGATTGATTTATCATTACAATGACCACATAAACAGTTCATCAAAATAATATCGGTATTTTACACATTTGATAAATAATTACTAAACATAAAAAGTAAGATAGTGTGGGAAATACTTCTCATAATGAGATGGATGGGGGTGGTAGATGGCAGTGCTTCTCATACTTTAAGGTACTTAGGACCATCTGGAGATCTTGCTAAGATGCAGATTCTGGTTCAGAAATTCTGAGTTGGGGTCTGATTCTGCTTTTCTGGTGGTCCACAGACCACACTCTGAGTAGCAAGGGTGCACGATCCCAAAGGAAGATTTGCTAACACCAACATTCTGAATTGTCCATTTTTTTGGCACCCAGAGATCTTGACATTTAGGGATACTAGACCATAGACAGATTCTGGCTGAAGAAGTTGGTTATTCTTCTGCAAAGCAGGAGAAGGATCAATGTGAAGAGGGAGGTAGGGAAGGAGAGCAGTCATGCCATCCAGACTGAGACACATTCTTAGGTGGAGCAGGGAAGAGTAGAAGTGGAAACAGGATCTTCAGCTGATTCCCTGGTACTTTTCCTGCTTGTGTACCCCTGAGGGAGCCTTTGGTTACCCCAGGGTGGGGCTGACCCCTGTGAAGCCCACTTCTCTGAAGGATGCTAAGATGGTGTTGGCCATCATTTCAGACAGGGTGCCCATTGATGCAGGTGGGATTGGACATTTCAAAAACTGGTTTGAATGGTTTTGAGAGTCTATTGGGGGTAAATCCTCAGAAGTAAAGTTTGTGGCTGGGTGGTAGATGGCCTTGAATTCCATGCTAAGGAGTTGGGCTTAATACTCAGGCAGAAGGGTGCTGTGGGGTGTTTTGAGCAGGGAGCTGGTGTGAGCAGAGTGCTTTGGGGACACTGATGCATTGAGCATATTTCCCATGTGGGATGGCTGGGAAGGAGTTAAAGCAGAGGGGCGACAGCAATGACAACACTCTGGGCTTGAAGATGAGGTTGTCTGTAGTTACTGGGATTTGCCTGTGACTTTTATCTCCTCCTCCCCAGCTTCTGAACTTTTGCCCTGGTTTCCCAGACCTGGTTGGCTGTCAGTATTTCCTGAAGTGTGGGTGACATTCCTCCAGGAGTACTTGAGATGTTTATGCACGGAGCTCCAGGTGATTTAATGTGGAGCACAGACGTGGCCTTAAGTAACACTGAAACCCAAGAGCCCCCGCATCCCCTTCTCAGCCTCTGTCTGCAGCCCTGCCTGCATCTGGAGAAAGTCTTTAGCGCCTTGCCCCACTTCCATTTTCCTTTTGTTGCTAGAGAGCAGTCGGCTTGGACTCTGGTCCCTTTGGTAAGCAGGACTCTCCAGATAAAGTTTTACAAACTTTTTGTTTTTGTTGAGTTCATCTTCCATGTAGCAGGATGGCAGGCGGTCCTCGTTTTCCCCTCTCCTTAGTGACACAAAACTGTTCATTTCAAATAAGTTCATTTCAGTAAGAAAAGCAAGCCAATTTGCTAGATCATATGGAAGAAATAATAATGCTGGCAGCCTGTGGATATAGCAGAAGCCCTGGTGGTGACATGCCATGATTCAGCTTGGGGAAACATTGGGTTAGACCATGTGACAAAAGGCAGCATGTGCCAGACCTCTGTGCCAATGCCGGAGGGGCTCTGGGGGAGGGCGGGCGGGCCTGGCAGTGGGTGGGGGGCCCTGGGTGAGCCGCGCGGGTCCCAGTGCAGCGCCCGCCACAGCCTAACGCCCGCTGCTCCTTGCCTCTGCCCGCAGAGATCCGCACGCAGCTGGTGGAGCAGTTCAAATGCTTGGAGCAGCAGTCCGAGTCCCGGCTGCAGCTGCTCCAGGACCTCCAGGAGTTCTTCCGCCGGAAGGCCGAGATTGAGCTCGAGTACTCCCGCAGCCTGGAGAAGCTGGCCGAGCGGTTCTCCTCCAAGATCCGCAGTTCCCGGGAGCACCAGTTCAAGTGAGAGGGGGCCTGGGGGTGGGGGGAGCTGGGCCCAGGGGAGGCAGCAAAGCAGAAAGGAGGCAGACGCTCACTGGAGGCAGACGGTGTGCTTTTAAAAGGCCCAGGAACCCCGGTTACAGTCATCTCCGTGCCTGACTTCCTCCTAGGAGAGTGAAGATACAGTTCTCCTGCCTAGGGATGCTGCAGGGAATGAACGAGGAACACGGGAGAAGTGCTGCAGACACTTAAATGCTCAGTGAATTGTCCTTGCTGTGGCTGTTATCCTACCACGCACCAGGCCTTGTGCTAGGCTTCATTTGGACCAAGGTGACCTCCTCGCTCTTTTCAGGACATCCTGACCCATTTATCTGGGGGTCAGCCAGCCCACTTCCCAATTCCCCCAGCACAGTGATCTCATAATCTCTTCTCCATGGAACTGATGCTCAGTGCATCCCTCTTCCTCCCTCCCCTGGAGGATGGGTGCCCGGGGCTCTTTCTCCACCTTCTTTATTTACAATACACAAACTCCCCTGGTCCTGATTTCTCACACTCCAAACTCTGGGTTTGTGAGGTCAGATCCCCTCAGGCAGTGGCGTGACTGCCTCTGAGTCTGACGGCAACAGAACCTCCTTGCCCAGAACTCTCTTGGGCCTGCCTCCTAAAGCACAGGTAGAAGGTAGCAACCTCAGGGGACCCCGTTCACGGGGCAGAGTGAACCTGGGGATCTTCCACTCCACTGTCATCTCTCCAGCCAGTCACCCTCAACCACAGGGGATCAGCAGCTTGCTTCCTTTGGGTCCGATCCTGTTTTTCTCTCTGCATTTAGAAAACTTGTGGTAAACCCACGTAATATAAAATCTACCATCCTAACCATTTTTAAATGTACAGTTATGTAGCATTAAGGATACTCACACTGTTGTGCAACCATCACTACAGTACATGCCCATAATGCTTTTTATCTTGCAAAACAGAAATTCCATATGCATCAAATGCTAACTCCACGTTCCTTCTCCCTCCAGTTCCTGGCAACCACCAGTGGACTTCCGGTTTCTATGAGTCTCACTACTGTAGGGACTTTGTATAAGTGAAGTCACATAGTAGTTGCCTTTTGTGACTGGCTTAGTGTACATAGTATAAGGTCCTCTCGGTTCCTCTGTACTGTATGCCCTTTTTAGGGCTAGTAATATTCCATTGTGTGTATGCAGCACATCATATTTATCTATTCACCTGTCAGTGGGCCCTGGGTTGCTTCCACTTTCTTCCATATATTTTTTGCCTTCTGCTCTGGCCAGGGGGTGCTCTTCTTTTAAACCTCCGTAAACAGACATCTCCCTTCGTCTATGCACAGCATTCAAACACTCACTTTTGTGGAAATTACTTTATCAGAGAGCAAAAATGTATTACATCTTCACGAATACCACTCTTATTTATCTACCCAATCTTATTTTTTCCAACGCAGCCTGCAGGAGGAAGCTTCTATTAATAATTTCCTCCCAGACACTGTCTAGGCCCATCCACACACATAATCTCATTTTTCTGATAGATTTTTTTTGAGAAAATTTGCTTTTTTATCTTTCCAAATGATGAAAGTAAAATGCTAATTGTATATAACTTAGAAAATACAGAGAAACAGGAGGAAAAAAGTCACTTGCACAGTCCTGCTACTCAGAAGCAAACACACTCACATTTTGGTGCCTTCTCTGGCCTATCTTTTGGTAATAACAACAGCCATCACAGTTTATTGTGGGCAGTAACTGAGCACTTTGGGCCGGGTGGGTGTTCCTGCCCTATCTTAAAGGTGAGGACAGTGAAGCTCAGTGAAGCTCAGTGAAGCTCTGGACAAGAAAGCACCTTGTCCAGACATGTCTATGGACCAGTCATTGCAAAAAAAAAAAAAAAAGAACTGTCATTTTCATTCTGCCTCCTTGGCCTGAGATAAGAAAGGGCCAGATGCAGCCTGAGAGCAGCCGTGGGATCTGAATGCCCCCCTAAAACCAGAGATACAGGCACACTCACGAAAACCCTCATCTCTGGCTGAGCTGTCACTGGAGCTGTCCAGGGCTGTGTGGTTAGGCTGTGGCCTCAGCTCCTGCCTGTCTCCTCCCTTTCCATTTTCGGTGTGAACATGGGGGAGAGGGGGAAAGACGAGGGTGTGGGGGGCATAGGTGGGGGTCCCTATTGCCTCACATTGCCTGTAATGAGCTCAGCCATCCCCCCTCATGGGTTCATTAAACAGAGGCCACCAGACGGAACAGGAGCCCCAGCTGGCAGTCGGGCCAAGCAGGCTGCTTGACACACTATGAAAGTCTAATTAGGATGTGGGCCCTGGCCAGTGCAGCTGGGATAATGTGGCTTTTGGAAGCAGGAGTCTCTGAGGGATGCCTGGACTTGCCCTTTGACCCCAGGGCCAACCAGTGCTGACCCCTGGCTGCGTCTTTGGAGCTCAGTGAACAGGACCTGTGCTGTGCTCTGGGTCCTTTGACCTGCTGTCCAGAGAAGGCTAGTCTTGCTGTCTTACCAATACTTCATTTAAGAGTGTCCATCTCTCTGGCAGGTAGCCTCTCAGGGCCTGGAGGGCAGGGCTCAGGTCTCGTTATTTTATTCCCGCTGCAATGGGCCCAGTGCCAGATGGAGACGGGGTGTTTGCGAATGAGCAGGAGCAAGGGAGGGAGGAAACGTACTTGGTCTGTAAAACCTTCTCTGGCTGAGAGGTTTTGTTTAGAGAGGGAATTGATTTGCTCAGGATAGCACAGCAAATGAGTGGCGGAACTGGAATGGGAACTATCGTAGTTCATTCAGCTGCTGTAACGAAGTACCATAGACCAGGTGGCTTATCAACTAATTTCGCACCTCGTTAGAAGCCAGGAGTCCATCATAGCAATCATTTGATATTTTCTTTCTTTTGCTTTTTTATGTTTGATTGTTCATCTCTCTCTTCCACTAGATGGGAAATTGCACCATGGCAGGAACTGCCTGTCTTGTTTACTACAATAAATCAGGGCCTGGCACCTGGTAGATGCTCAGTAAATACTGGCTAACTAAACAAATCAATTAAATACAGAATATTATGAGCACACAGAGGAAGCACCAGGTCTGACTCAAGGAAGCTTTCCAGGGGAAGTAACATCTAAACATGGAGCGCTGAAGAGCAAGCAGGTGGCAGAGTTCAAAAGACATGGCCATAGGGCCTGGGTGCCTGCCCCAATTGTGAGCATGCCCCCCCTCAAGAGAAGGAAGAGTATCTGAGAGCAGGGACTGTGTCCTGGTAATCTTTGTGTTTCAGCACACATCACAGTTCGGGAAAATAAGAGGTCCTCTGTGTGCATCATACGTGATGGTAGAAAAGAAACAAGTAATGGTATTGTTCTCCAGATGTTCATCCTGCCCAGGTAAACCCTCAGAGCCGTTGACCTGAATCTTTCTTTGAATCATGTGCCGCAGGGAGCTCAGCGCCAGTGAGTCCAGCCTTGACAGGGTGCCAGCATGGCCGGCTTCTGGTGAGAGCTCTCTGAGCGTGCAGACCGCTGGTCCTCATTGTGTCTTCACACGGGTGGAGAGCAGGGAGAGCAGGCAAGCTCTCTCCTGACTCTTGAAGTACGGGCACTAATCCCATTCATGAGGCCTCTGCCCTACCGCTAATTACTGCCAAAGGCCCCACCTTCTGATACTATCACACTGGGCCTAGGGTGTCAACATAGGACTTTTAAGGGGACCCAGACATTCAGTGCATAACAAGGACTCAGGTTCTTGATTCCAACCTCAATGCTACTCCATTTATTTGCTCTTTATCTGCCCAGGCAATCGAAAAAATATATAGCTGCTGAGGAGGTACTATGATGGAAATAAATATAATGCGGAGTGTTCTAGCTATCTATTCTGGGTAACTGCAATACTTAGTACTATAACATAGTACCTCATGGTTTAGTGGGTTAGGAATTTGGACAGGGCTCAGTTGGGTGATTTTTCCACCTTATATGGCATTGATTGGGGTCACTGAGTAATATTCAGCTGTAGCTGGTCTGGGCTGGAGAGTCTAAGATGGCTTCACCTGTGTGCCTGGCACTTTGGTGGGGATGGCCAAAAGGCTGGACGCAGCTGGACGACCTCCTCCCCTGTGTGGTGTCAAGGCCCCTGTAACTAGCATTTCAGCTGGGTGTCTGACATTATAGTCAGGGCCCCGAGAGAGCAGTGGGGAAGCCCCAGTCTTCAAGGCCAGCTCTGGAACTGGCACAGCACCACTTCTCAGCCTGAGCTCAGCTTCAGGAGAGAGGAAATAAAACCCTTCTCTCATTGAAGGATTTGCAGCCCTCTTTGATCCTCCCCACTGAGCTAGAATAGCAGTCAGGGAAGGCACCTGGAGGCAGTGGCGTTGAAGCTGAGACCAGAGGGATGAGAAAGGGTAGCCCTGGGGGCAGCGGAGGGGAAGGAGAAGCCGGTGGAGCTGGAACTAGTGGTGAGGGAGTGTGCGAAGCCACTGAGACACTGGTAATAGGAGGGTGCATGACCCCATTTCTGTTTTTGAAATATGACCCTGGGTTGGAGGGGGCACGAGTGGAGCAGGTGTGTTGGATTATTGCTCTGCAGGCGGGTGGTGGTGATTGCCAGGGTAGTAAGGACAGAACAGACGAGGAGGGGTGGGCAGTACTGGGCAGTCTTTCAGAGGTAGGAATGAGGAAAAGAGGAATCAAGGATGTCTTCCATCTCTGACTTGACAGAAGGATTAGAGAAGAGGGAGGCCGAAGCTGCCATGCTGTGCTGAAATCACCTGTGTTCTTGTCTGTGCCCCTTTTGATGATCACCGGGCTGTGAGCTCAGAGATGACACTGAGGCTGGCTCTTGACCTAGGGTCCTGAGCACCCAGCACCAGGTTTGGCGTATGGTTGGCACTCATTAGATGTTTGTTGAAGGAATGAATGAAGGGTGGTAATTAGAATTGCCCTGGGGTGGGGCTGGTGGGAGGCAGGGAGGCTGATGTGTTTTCTGGCTGCCTTAGGAGCTTCGTGGGGCCATTTGGGCAA